ATATTTTAAAACATTGGTGAAAAACTAAAACATGCCGTGAAAAATTTTCGAATTCGCCCTTTCTACGAAACACCGACGATTTGCCCTCTGTTTTAAATAGAAAACGTATTTTTCTGGATACCCTATAAGCATATCTTATTCTGCATAGCCCTAAATTTAAATGCGATATTTTCATTATAATGTACACCAGGCGTTTACGTGCTCATAGGAACAGTATTGTCTGAATCTGAATCACTGCACATATTATTATGTACATTATGATGTACACGAGGCCTTAGGAGCATAAAAAGAATATCAATATTGTTACATTTCATAAATAGTTAAACTTTTTTAACGAAAATATCTAATTATTTTTCATTCATACACTGAATATTTTGGTTACTCAAGCTTAATATACGATTTCTTTTATTAATTTGCTATTTAGGCGAGCCACTATTATTACTTCTGGTATACAATATAATTATTATAACAACGGATGTGTTATCGAAGCTCCTCTTTGTGTTTCCATTAATTAATCTAAATAACAACAAATTGGTAAACGATAATTAACTGAACAATATAAATAGACTGCTCAACAGAAACAGCCGCGCCGATACCCAACAAATCGGATGAATTAATAATATAATATGATAGCAACACTGCTATGCTATGCTATATGGCACTATCTGCTACCTAAAATAATTAACAGTATGACCATAGATTACTTAATAGTTACTGGGTAACAGATACATCATTCTGATACAAAATCATACGTTATACGAAAATACCTACGTTATAGGTTATATATATTATTAAATCTGACCAATTATACCAGGCGCTCACTACGAGGAAAAAGGTACCTAAGCTCACGCTCAGAGAGGTGAAAATAACGTTGCCCGCCGTGTGCAGTCGTACGGAGCTGAATGCTCATAAATGAAAGACTTGTACGAGTGATTGAGCTCTGGTATAATCAAATCAAATCAAAAATCATTTATTCTCAGACAACGACAGTCCATATTTTACAGTTATAATATTAGCTTAGATATTTCAATAGGTTTACACACATTAAAATAAACAAAAGGCAACTTAAAAACATAGAATAATTAAACAAATTAAATTAAATATCAAATAAATCATCGACATGGTTTTAAATGCAGTTTCATGTGTGGGGTATTCGTACATACATACATACATACATACACACATATATACATCATACATACTTATTTACATACTCGTTCATACACAAACTAATTTATATTATAATTACCACTTACCTTTCCCCGTGTCGTATTAGCTGTTCACGTTGTATATTGGAACCGAGCACTTCGAACTCGTTTCTATTGTTCTCGCGTGACGTAGGACCAACCGGTCCTAGCGCTGGCCGGCCATCCGCTCGCCCCGCGCTAGTCGAGACCTACCTTCTATGCGACGCGGAGCTCACGCTAAAATTTACTTGCTTATGTACCTTGCGCTTACGCTGTTATATACTGTTTCAATTTCTATTCTCTTCACCTATCTTTTCTGACTGTATTTCTCGCTATTGCCTGTGCTAGTGCTTGTGCTAATTTCCTTTTTGTGCCTTCTGTATTTTGTGTTATTGTGGACAGACATTACACGTATACTACCACACGTAAGTCGGACTATTTATTTCTACCGTTTACCGGACTGTACGTCAACTGTACCCAAAACAACCACACATGCAATGTAGCATAATGTCATAATGTCTATCTTTAATCAAATAAAAATGTTTACTGATATAATTCTTAGTATCAATATATTTTTGTTTACGCACACACTCATAGCTCTGCACTAGGGAAACCGTGTGTCGCGAGTGCCATGGACACAGACAGTACGCATAAATTACACCCAAACTCACGAGAGAAATAAATGTAAGCTATAGAAATATTTCTCCCGACCCGGGAATGGAACCTAGGACCTCTGCGTGTCAGATCAGCATGATAACCGTTCGGCCGCAGAGGCAGTTAAAATGGAATTGATGGAATTTTGAAGAACTGCTAAAATTTGCAAAGTCATATTTATTTTTACTTTAATAAGTTTTCACCCATTTGTTCTACCCACGTTCTACCATACAGTCTCTTCATATATTAGTATCTTTTCCATGTTTTCAAGCATTTAATAATCATGAAGGGTTAATGATGTATAGTTGTACATGACAGGGCATGGTAAGCATTTACATTTTGCAATAGGTCTTCTATTGAGCGCGGGATAACTTCTGGTTTTATATTATAGAAACGTAGATGTGGAAAAATAAAATATGAAACAAACAACACCTTACACATACACACGCTCGCAAACACAAGTTAACATCTATACATGCAATCACACTTACACAAAAATACGTGCACAGAGACAAACACGACTGTTTTAAATACTTGTTCCCTTAGTCATTTTTATTTATAGTACAGATTAAAGTAGTTACATTACATCTGTGTTGGAATTGGTGTAAATTTAAGTGGCATTAAATGGCATTTGAATTGGGGAGCCTGGTAGCCTAAGATACAGATTTCTGATCTATCTTTTCAGAAAAATTGTCACTTTAGAGAATAAGTAGATCACGGGAATTTAAAACCACTCCTGTGCTTGATTCAGTTTTGACAAGTTGTGTTATAGCAGAGATTCATCACAATGGGATTGCAACTACGTCGACTGATATTATTTGATATTTACGTGTTACAATGTTTTACCAAACTGTATGGGTCACGTAGGTCACATTCTAATGAATCTATGCAAGGGCAACTTTGAAAGTGCTATTTAGGTCGCATCTATCCATCACAGGCTATAGCTGGACGTTTTGGTCATAGTATAATAAGTAAGCAAATAATAAATAAAATATGTTTTTATTTAGCTACAAAACCCGTTAATAAATGTAACATTTATGTGACTTATTTAGAATTTTTAAAAGAAAGTTGCGCATATCGTACACTGTCCTCATTATAATATTGACCTATTTGCTCAATCTCGTCAGAAAAAATCAATGTTGTTTACGAACTATGGCGAAAAAATCATCTACTTTATTCACGGCAAACATGCCAGACGCACTACACCGCCAGAGAAGTTACAGCATAGCACGAAATGCATTGTTATGTTGAACTCTTGAGTCTATCAAAAGTTCGCTTAGTATAATGATACCACAGCTAACTAGTGTAGAACGCCTGAATAGAGTTATTTTTGCTAAATGTTTATTTATTTTCCTCTATATATATAGTAGCAGGTAGATACATAAAAAAGTAAGAAAGTTTATAAATAGAAAATTTCATCGAGAGCCGTACCCTGGGGCATCGTGTCCAGAAGTCTGGGAACTATTCCCCTTTGAATTGCTAGACTTATTCTTTGGCGGAACAAGCTTGGCAGTTACAAGCTTGTGGTCACCGGAGGCTTCTACGAGGCGATCCGACAGCTCATTCACTAGAAGCTCCGCCTGTGGCCCCCAGGGACCCAGGGTTTCGACCGCTAAAGGCATAAAGCTGTAGCACTGAGCAAGGTTGGCGTATTCGAGCCTTTTGCGGTTCTCGACCGCTCTGGTCACAGAGCCTGCGCCGCCCACGCTTGCAAGGACATAGGAGGGGGCTACAGTGTCCACACATATTACTTTTTATTGTTTTTTACTTGAATTGAGCAGGGAGTGAATCGGCAACAAGTTACTCTTCATAACTGTGGTCTGCCTCTGCCGAGCTAGATCTTCATCGTTTATATCAATTTTACAGTAAGTATATGCCCTAGGTATTGAAGCTTAGTATGGTACCATTCAATGTAATAGGCAGGATGACATCTGGTCCCCTGCCATGCTTAGGCATGGTGTTTACACACCATTAGTACATAGTAATAAGCAGTGATCGAAGTTAAAGGAGTCAATTTTGCTAAACTAAAGACTGATCTGGATATTCTCTTTTACAAATCCTGGGAATTATCGAAACTGATTCTATTTGAATACGCTTATTATTTATTGAAATTTTAGTACCTACATTGGCGACAAATTGTTATTTCCTATTAAGTATTTGCCATAAATCATTGTATCAAAAAATAATGTTGTATTTGTGTTTCTATAGGTACTTACGTATTTAAATACTTTTTACATTTAAATAAACATGAGATAACCTTTATCTTGGAATGTTTAGAAAATAATCAGAAAAAAATGAAATTTTATATGCATTGATGATGAAATGGGCTTATCTATACTGAGAAAACCTTTAGGTATCCTTCTCCTTCATACTTTAGGTAAATTAACTCTTCCGATCACTGGTAATAAGGAAAATATGGCAACTCTGTACAAACGTAGCAGTGTCTTTTGTATGTGCGCGCACCTGTCGCGTGTCGTGTAGGCACGATGACATGACTTAATCTCACGACGCATTCGCGTTGCATAGTGCTGGTCGTCATACGCGTTTTAATTATTCTGCGAATGTGCGCGATCATATACGTTGCGCGGCGGGCGTTCACACATACAAGTCGCGTTGCTACCTTTGTATGGAGTTACCATCCTTGTCTTGTTATACTATGCTTTGGTACTGCAAATCCATGACTTGTACTCGCAATTCAACCGCTACTCTTAAGTAGCATATTCTTATCTAAATAAATCCTTCTCACTATCATTTGTTTCTGTTAGCAAGTGCTCATCGACATAAACGCGACATAGGTTGATTCCACGGATAGTGTAGGGGGTCTATTCTCGTTCTTCGGCCGACATCCGTCCGAAACAATTCGTGTCAAATAAATAATACTCGATCAAACTAAAAGAATGTCAAGTATGAAGCTTCATTCGCGTCATGCGTCTTGTAAATTGGTCGGGTATTACTTATTTAACAGGAATTATACTCGCGCCTCGTCCTCGAGATTAGTAATTGAAGATTATGTAGTACTTGTAGTAACGCATAGGTACCACCACTCTGCACATAGTTAGGAGTTTTGTTATATAAAAAAAAAATAGATATGTTGAGGGTACACTTTCACAGCACCGCCATGTTAGTTCGTTATTTTTCTTCATTCGCAATTTTGTGCCCGACCACTCAAGCCACTTTATTATTATTCGTGTCTTTTATAGTCATTTACTGTTTTTTATTAGTAAATATGCCCAAACGTAAACGTTCTAGGAAATACGAAGAAGATTTAGATTATTTAATGCATAAAGTACGTAAGTTACAACGAAAAATTCGTGATGAAAGTGAAAGTGATTCGGCACGCAGTTCGCCAACTCAGGAGGACGTTATACCGACACCGTATAACGAGATTGAAACAGGTATTTACCTAAACATAAATATTATTATATATTTACCTACCTACGGTTTCAAATGCATTCCGAATAGTCACTGGGCTTTTTTTCGGCGCATAAATCTAACGGTTGGCGTACAATCCGTTGGGGTTTGTTTACCTAACCTGTGGAGACGATAACGATCGTTATCTTCTTGCAATGCAGAGAATTTCAAAATTACATTGATACTATGCATTGTTCACACGTGTATATACTAATGTGAAACCATATAATGTAATTATATCTCGATTTTTAACGTATTTACGTTAACAATAAGTATGCACTCTGAGTAGTCATTGGGGCTTACTCGACACGTTTTGTGGAAACGATTAAATTAACATAGTAACTATTTGTGTTATTTACAACAAAGCGTATATTTATATACTTACTACGTACTTATGTACCTACCTACCATCAAAGTATCGATGCTCGTTTTCAGCAGTGCCCGTTCTGCAGCCAAGTGACTGGTTATCAGAGGTCCTAGACGATGAACCTGTGGATGTTCCACATAAAGATCAGCAGACCCTTACCAGCACAATGACGAATACTTCAAACTCCAATGATGTCCTGCCCCAAGAAGGTGCAAATACGTCAGCAGTTGACACTGAAGAAAAGAAATCAACTGAAGAAGAACCAGCAACTTTGGACACGGACATATTACAAATATTAGGTGATGACCCTTCATCTACCGTTAAGTATGGTAAAGACATTCGCAAGGAAATAGCTACTCGCTTCCAACACGGAGCAACTGAGGGCATTACCAAAGAAATTCGAAAAGAACTTATTTCTAAATATCCGATTCCTGCGAACTGCTTGCATATGGATGCTCCCAAGCTTAATCTGGAGATAAAAGCTGCGGTCCCAGAAACCATCGCAAAACGAGACAAAGGCATCGAAGCTAAACAAAAACAAATGGCGACCGCCTTATCATGCTTAGGCGAAATTCTCACCATGCATCTAAATTCCATCAATAAAGATAATGACTTATTACAAAAGCTCATCGATATCAGTCGCATTTTATGCGACATACAACACGCGGATAGTGTGACAAGAAGGAATTTTATATTGTTTTCTTTAAAGAATGATTTAAAAGAACACCTAGTCAACACGAAGGTGGATAATTTTCTCTTCGGTGAAAACCTGGCAGAGACGTTAAAAACTGCAAAGGCTGTAAACAAATCTGGCGTGGAATTAAAAGCTGAGTCAACTAAACAAGTTCCGATGAAACGACTGAAATCTACAGTAGCGCGGCCTTTAAACCGCAAGGCTGGTCCACAAGAGCGCAGGCCGCAGGGGCCGGCAGCAGCGCAGGCACCGTTGAGGAGCCGCGAGCCTGCAGCCCCACGAGCGCCGTTTCCACCGCCGCCGCCTGCGCACTCATCGCGGCTGTCGCACGCGCATCCGCCACCGCGCCGCCGATATTAAATACAGTTAAGTACGCTGGCCGTTTATCTCTTTTTTATAAACAGTGGGCACTTATCACAAGTGATCACACTATTCTTTCATGGATTGATGGGTATAAAATAAACTTTTCGAGCCCGGTAGTTCAAAACTCCGTGCCTTCAACTCCTTCGTATACTGACGAGGAGAGATCGCACTATGCGGATACTATACAGGATTTACTTAAAATTGGTGCAATTTTGAAATGTAACCCGTGTGAGGGCCAATTTATTTCTACCATATTTCTTCTACCAAAACCGAACGGTAAAATGCGCTTTATACTTAACCTTAAAAAATTAAATAAACATGTTAAAACAGATCATTTTAAATTAGAAGATATACGCACGGCCGTTAAGCTCGTTACTCGAGATTGTTACATGGCTACTCTTGATTTGAAGGACGCGTACTTTTTAATAAAAATCCACGAAGAATCAAGGAAATATCTACGAATTATTTTTGAAGGAAATACCTATGAATTTAATGTTTTACCGCTCGGTCTTAACACGGCACCATACGTTTTTACAAAAATAACGAAACCTGTTGTAAAACTATTGCGATACGCGGGTCTCCTCTCTACCTTGTACCTTGACAACTGGCTCCTGTTTGGTCATTCTTTCCACCAATGTTTATTAAACATAGATTTAACTAAAAAGCTTTTAGTTTCACTAGTTTCATTATTAATGAACAAAAAAGCGTGCTTCGACCTTCTACGTCATGCAAATTTCTAGGTATGGTGATTGACTCACATCACCTTCGATTAAGTCTACCCACAGAAAAGAGATTACATATTAAATCAGAGTTGAAAAGTTTTCTAAACGTAAAACGTTGTAGAATCAGGCAACTAGCGCGGCTTGTTGGATTATTAGTGTCAGCGTGTCCAGCCATAGAATACGGATGGCTTTATACAAAAGAAATGGAGCGTTGTAAATTTCTGAACCTTCAAGGTCATGACGATTTCAATAGATTTATGAATGTACCTGACTCGCTCCACCCTGACATTAATTGGTGGTTACAAAACATTCAAAACTCGCATCACCGCATTCGCAGTGATGTCTTCCGTACAGAATTTTTTTCCGACGCCTCAACTACGGGGTGGGGGGCGGCCTGTGACAGCGATACAGCGAACAGGCAATGGTCTAACATAGAACGAGAACAACATATTAATTATCTCGAGTTATTGGCCGCTTTTATAGCTCTTAAAATTTACGCACGTGACCTTTACAACTGCGAGGTACTACTGCGGGTAGATAACTCAACCGCACTATCATATATTAACCGAATGGGAGGTGTACAATATCCCCACCTAACCCAAATAACGAGAGAAATTTGGCAATGGTGTGAAGAAAGAAAGCTATTCGTATTTGCTTCCTACACCAAGTCCTGCGACAATACAATTGCAGATTTTGAGTCAAGGAGGGTTCATCCTGACATCGAATGGGAGCTAGCAGACTGGGCCTTTATATCTATAACGCACGTTTTCAACTGTCCAGAGATTGACCTTTTTGCTAGTCGCATAAATAAAAAATGCCCCAAATACATCTCTTGGCACAAAGACCCAGATGCTTTTGCAATAAATTCTTTTACCGTCTCATGGTCGAACTTCTATTTTTACGCTTTTCCCCCATTTTCAGTAATTTTAAAATATCTCAGAAAAATTATTTCAGAAGAAGCACAAGGTATTATGATTGTACCTTTATGGCCAACGCAACCATGGTACCCCATGTTTAAAGCTCTTCTCGTTTCGAAAACTTTAGAGTTTTCCGCACAAAGTAATGCCTTAATATCTCATTCCAGTTCCCGCTCGATACACAGCACGATTACCCTGGTTGCAGGGATATTGTGCGGATCGCGCTATCAAGAAGAAGCTTACCCACATCGTCGCTAGGTATTATGCTGGCATCCCTGTCACCAAACTCTATAAAACAGTACGATGTTTGTCTTAGAAAATGGTGGAACTTCTGTAGAAATAACTCTATTAATGTCTATACCACCTCCGTACCATCTGTGATAGACTTCTTAACACAACTGTATGACCAGGGAAGTCAATATGGAACCTTAAACTCTTGTAGATCGGCTCTGTCCCTGACACTAGGCCCGACAATATCTAACGACGACAGGCTACAGAGGTTTTTTAAGGGCGTATTTCGTCTGCGACCACCGCAACCTAAATATAACGTTACTTGGGATACCAATTGCGTCTTAGACCGAGTAACTGAATGGTACCCAAATATAGAATTGTCTTTAGAACTACTCTCGAACAAAACAGTTACCTTACTTGCTCTCATTACCGCACACAGGGTTCAAACTCTTTCAAAAATTAATATTAAAAATATACAAATGACTCCAGGACATATACTAATAAAAATCCCGGATATTTTAAAAACTACTAAAATAGGTTCTAAACAGCCTATTTTATACTTACCATTTTTCACAGAAAATCCGTCAATATGCCCAGCTGAAACCCTGTTGTGCTATTTGAACAGAACCGCGCCCTTGAGAAAATCTGATAGTTTGTTTGTTGCTATTAAAAAACCGCATAAACCAGTAGGTACGCAAACGCTCAGCCGTTGGATAAAACGCACACTTAGCGATTGTGGCATCGACGTTACGGTATTCAGCGCGCACAGCACGCGGCACGCCGCCACCTCGCGTGCGCGCTCCCGCGGTGTAAGCATCGATACAATCCGTAATACCGCGGGTTGGAGCGGAAACTCCAACACTTTCGCAAGGTTCTATCAGAGATTTATAGTTAATAATGACGAAACTTCTTTAGCCCTATCGATATTAAATCAAAATTAATTTAAGTATCACGAATGTCATTAGCTAATTATTTAATTCTTAAAAGCTCACTAGAGTAAACTACTCGATCTGTGATCAAATTCGATCACATTTACAACTGTATTAATTATTATAATGAATAATTAAGTTTTCAGTTAATACTTAATTACTATCGGTATTTACATTGTAACACATTATTATCTAAGCTGTGTTTAGAAATATTCTTTTTGATTTGCATTTATTTTTATTTAGTACCATACTAATTAAGTAAATTTATACCTAATATAAACAAATATAAATATTATATCCGATTTGCTTGGTACGTACAACATTAAAATGTTTCATGCAAATATATTATCTTGTACTTATTCCTCTGTTACCATTGATGATATTTTAGTCTTGTCATACTCTCAAAGTCTACAAGTACTACATAATCTTCAATTACTAATCTCGAGGACGAGGCGCGAGTATAATTAATGATTAAACGAACTTACCTAAAGTGAAGTTCTATCATAATTATACGAAGCGCCTCGTTCGAAGAGATTAGTAACTAATTCCCTCCCGCCCTAAGCGAACCGCTCCCATTACTAATCATTCTGAAAATATACATCAATGCAGGGCTCTAAACTATATGAAAAATAACGAACTAACATGGCGGTGCTGTGAAAGTGTACCCTCAACATATCTATTTTTTTTTATATAACAAAAACTCCTAACTATGTGCAGAGTGGTGGTACCTATGCGTTACTACAAGTACTACATAATCTTCAATTACTAATCTCTTCGGACGAGGCGCTTCGTATAATTATGATAGAACTTTACTTTAGGTAAGTTCGTTTAATCATTAATTGTTTCGGACGGATGTTGGATATAGAACGAGAGTACAGGGCCTGATACGAGAAAAGCATAGACAGTGCATAGATTTCCCAATTCATTACTTTTTCCATTTTATACCATTCGTTCAGGATGGATGTATTATGGTAGTTAGTTTAATTCAAATTCAAATTCGAATTCAAAATATTTATTTCAGATAAGAAAGATCCATTAGTGTTAGTAGTTGTAAATAAACTTATAAGCTATTGTTAGCAGGAATATTATATTACATATTACATAATTAGTTAAAATCTAAAATGACACGTACTTACGAGGCATCTCGTGCGGAAGCATTGTCCGTACGAGATGCCTCGGTACAGGCGCTCTGTGGTCTTCTGCCACAACCTTCAGGATGTTATTGTTACTCCCCCGGAGCCTTCTAACAAACGATGCTACTTTTCGCCGCAAGACGGCATGAAAGCTATTCATATTGGCCAAAGCAAACATCCCGTAGGCGCTGTAGTACCGGAGTAGTCTCAACATCATCCTGAACACATTATTATAATGGACACGCAAGGAATTTAGCGACCTTTGGGACTTTGTCTGTGCATCATGGAGATCTAGATACTTTTCTATGCATGACTCAAGCATACTGTGCAACACTTTAGCTATCGTGGTCGAGAGTGAAATTCGGCGATAGTTATTTATGTCTGAAATGTCTCCCGTCTTGTTCTTCACTATGGGCACTACCGTTGTTTTCATCAAATCATCTGGTAAGTAATCTATCTACCGTTTATAGCATAGCATTTCATATATTGTATAATATTTATGTTGAAAATCTTTACTAATGTATCATATCCACTACGCCTCAGGGTACTTAGCTGATACAAAGTGTGACACCAAAATGTCAAAATTAAATAGGGTTGACATCCTCCTGAGGATTTGCTTTCATATTACAACCCATCGCTTCCCCGTAATCGCTCATGACAATTGCGTTTCTGATTTTAGTATGATTAAATGATATTCGTGTAGTTCAAAGAATGTTTTCCGACTACAAATATAATTAACGAAATCAGTTTACTGCTAAGATGAGATCTTGGTAAAATGACAAAAAAAAACAAATTAGTTGTTCGATACAAAATGGCCCATACTAGATGAAAACGCATGGAATGCGATATGTGAGGGGCCTTCATACTGCATGCCTTGAAACATGTAATGTTAACAAAA